TATCAGTCTGCAATATTCTAAACAATGCTTCTAAACTCTAAGCGCTCTAAAAGAGCACAGAATGTCTTGATTTCAGCTACGGGCCTCCTGCTGCACTCTGCCAGTGCTCTTGACCACGCCCACTTCTGCACTTCTGAGAAGATCAGCGGCGAAGATCAGCTGATCAGCTGCAGGAGGGAGCTTCTCTTGCAGCTTGGGCTGCACAAAGGTGCAGCAGGTGCTAAATAATTTAAAATAATGTATTTTAAATAAAAAAAGTCCATGCAGATTGTGCGGCTCATCCATCAATCAGGTAATTGTGTGTCATGTCCAATCTTATTTTGAAAAACAGCGATAGAGCGAGTTTGTGTAAAACGAACCACAAAGTAGCGAGGGACTATTGTAGTGGCTCAAGTTAGATGGGGAAACAGCAAACATGATTGCATGCTAAGTGTTGGCATGTTGGTGTTATAGTCTTTCACCACCACAGCCCTACAGATCTGCAAAATTCTCCCTGTCCCCACTTTGTCTTTGCCAGGTCTTTGCTTCAAGGTCCTACGATGCCACAACTCACTTCGAGACCACTTGCAATGACATCAAGGACATCTACAAACGTATGACCGGAACCGACTTTGACTTTGAGAACATGAAACGCAAACAGAATGACGTGTTTGGGGAGGATGAGCAGTGAGGGGTTCAGGGGCTTTTGAGAGAAGAGGGAAGGGCTAGAAAAGGAAGTGAAGGCAAGAAAGAGCTGAGAGGCGTCAGAGCCGCTTCAGATGGCCGGGGCTGCTTGAACTGTGCTTTAAAAATTAAAAGGTGGGGGAGTGGGGGGATCAGGGATGGGGGGGTGTACATGGTGGAACAGCGAGCTTTGCTTCTCTTTGTTCGTCTGCCTCTGTTTCCTTTTGTAGTTCTCTCTCTCTCTGTCTTGACACATTAAAACTCTCACATTCACACTTTTCCATCACTCCCTTTCTGTCACTCCACAGCAGGGTTGATCAGGCCTTTCCTTTTATTTTAGAACTGACAGTATACCCACATGCTTAGCATTGTCATTATAGGTGTCATTACTTGTTGCAGATTTTCTGAGCATTTCAGTCTTTTTGTAATGTTCCCATCTCAGCTGTCGGGCGTACAGAAGGGTGGTGGCTCTCATGAGATTCTAGCGTAGAGTCCTCCTGAAGGGATGCTTTCTGTTGGTGTGCATGTATCTTTAACATGCAGTAGTACTGGGCATACGTAGACTGAAATGACTCTACGGTATTAAGGCTGGCCCGCTCCACGCACACCACTCCTGTCAACCCTGCGTTCACGTTTCTCTTGGTCTTTTACTTGCGTTACTTCAGTAAACGCTGCTCCTTTCGACAAAATTGCTGGGCAAATACTTGTGATCTAAAGTGAGACATAAATGAACTATTCTGTCAACTGACTGTGCTCACTTTGCAATGCTGTTGTGTTCCCCTTGCTAGCAGGCACACTAACCTGTGGCTATTAACTGTCGCCCAATCCACCAAACCAAATAACCGTAGATAAAACACACAAAATAACCGTTTCTTTTCTTGATCTCAGTGGTGTAATGTCAAGTTTGAAACTGAGTAGTTTACTTTCTAACTTGTTAAATTATTGAAGAGTTTTATTTCTGTGTAACGGGTTCAGGTTTCACTGGCTGAAGTTATGAAGTTTACAGAGCAGCGGCTTTAAACCGTGGTCTTCAAGCTGAACAGGAACGGAACAGAGGCATGAAGCTGGTTTGTGTAGTGTTGACCGGGGCTTTCGCTGGAAGAATTAACAATGACTGATGGGTAAAAGTGTGTCTTGGTGGGAGGCATGCACATGGGGGATGTTGTGGGGGTTTTGATATTAAAGCAAAAAGGATGAAGACTGAAGTTTTGGCTCATAGTGAAAGCACCTGATGACATCATGGGTGTCTGAACCTTTGTGTTTGTCGTGTCATTTCCACGGGGACCTGATTCTTGTAGATGTGAAGTAGAAGGAGAAGCTGGATACTCCTCTAATTTGAAGAGTTGCTGATAAATGAAGCCGCAGCAACCATTGCTGCCCTTTTAGAATGAACCAAGATGTTTTTATTTGGTTGTCGCCTTAATTTGGGGAGTTTGGGCCATTTCAGCAAATTCACTGCTTTGTTTTGACGACTGGTGATTACAGGTCAGTCTTGTGCCAAAATGGAGTGGCTGGTTTTGGCAAAGCTTTCTGACCATTTTTAAAAAAGATAATTCCGGTAGTTTTTTCAGAGCTGATTGAATAATGTGGAAGGAAAATAGTTTCCCACCTGAGTGGAGACAGTTCCTGGTCCATCTGTAGCACACACCCACAGCTTGTTACGTAAAAGGAAAACAGACACGACGCTGCCGTCTGCTTTGAAGCAGCTCCGTTTCATTATCCACCACGACCAATTCTTTACCAACTCTAAACAAACTTATCGCATGTTTGGGGTGTTGCTGTGTCTTATTATTATGATCTATTTATTCTATTTCTGACTGACCTATTGTGAAAAAAGGTTTATGTGAAATGCTGAATATGCTACGCTAATTAGTGCTACACCTTTATTTTCAAATGATGAAACTAATTAAAAAAGGATGCACATCAGGATTGTTAGTTTATTTTCTGTGTCATGTGTTATGTTTATTTTATTTAGTGATAATTCCATGATTTAATGTTTTTTAGCATTCTGCACAAACAGAAGGAAACAGCAAGTTGTTCATGCCCCACCACACTGTGCACTGGTTAACTTTGTGAGTGCTCATCCTGGAAACATGTTATTATATGTGATGAAAACTGGAATACTGTTTACCCTCTGACCACAGATCTGAAGACCTTTATCTTCCATTCTTCGACACCACAGTCTCTTTATTATTTACTGAAAACGAAAGCCTTGTGTGTGTGGTTGTACTGTTTTATTTTTCATCCAGTATGGCCTTTAAAAACCACTACTGACAACATCCCTTGAAAATGACAAAATAATTTGTCCAGGCTGAGTAGTAGAAAACTTAACTGTCCTTGTTTGATCACTAGTATGTGAACAACGCCTAATGTCTTGTGTAACAAACAAAATGGTTTAAACTATGAAATGATAGAAAAATAAACAAGCACATGACAAACCTGGAAAGACTGACTTCTGTGTTTCTTTGTAGGGGTGCACCCAAAGAACATCCCGTTTTCAGAAAGTATTATCTATACATGCACAGATATGTTTTATATACACTTGGACTAAAACTTACATTTTACAAAACAATAATAATCACATTTGTTATTTGTTATTAGCACAGAGGGTGGCTGTGGCTGAGCGGTTAGAGCAGTCATCCTCCAATGCAAGAGTTGGGGGTTCGAATCCACCAGCAGTCACATGTTGAAGTGTCCCTGGGCAAGACACTGAACCCCTCATCGCCTCTGATGTGTGTCCCATCGGTGAATGAATGTGATAAAGCTCTGATTAGTCTCTTTAGAATGATTTGTTCAATTATCTTTGTAGAGATCTAGTATAGAGCTGTATGAATGGGTACATGAGGACACAGATTGTTGTAAAGCGCTTTGAGTGTCTTGAAATAAGATAGAAAGGCACTATATAAGTACAGTCCATTAACCATTTGATTCTGAGGAAGGGGAAAATGGCTTGAACCAAAAATCACCTAAATTAAATTTCTTATTTATCTTTTAAATAACTTGCGCACAAAGATGGTGTGCAACGTGCAAACCCAACGGGCTGCAGCACAAATGGATATTTTGCAGTTGCCATGCGACCAGAACTTTGCATCTCTGTGCAAGAAACGAAGCATGGATCCAAATAATGAGGGTAAACCACATAAAGTCACTATTCAGTCCTGTATTGTAGCAACTGTACATCTTTAGTATTCATTTGTATCTAGTTTTTCTGTTACTGCAGCCTTTAATTTGCCACGCACATCCACTTCCTGTCTTCTGTGAATCTGGGACAGCTGCTGTGGCATCGTGTCATTTTATCCCAGTTTATCTTGACTCTTTGATAATCACAATAAACTGCTGTGACCTGAACTGTGCAGTGACGAGGCAATAAGGTGGAGCAGGTTCAGCTAGAATTACACACGATTCACCACATAGTCTTCATAAGAGTGACCCAGAAGTCTTTCAATCTCCACCTTGGCCACCACCCAACATTTGCCCTGGTGGCGCTTTTGCACAGAATCTTTCAGCGCCTTCTCCTGCAACGTGACTGCCATCTGCTCTGAGCCCCACCTCAGGATCCCCCTCGCTGTGATCTCCTCTCTGTTGAGTCGGTGAGCTCTCACGTCCAGGTGATCCATAATCACACTGATGTCGGCGTGCTGAAACTGGCCTGCAGGCAGGAAAAAAACCAGTGATGAAGTGGAACTGCATTTATTTAAAAAAAACGATGTTCATATGTATTATATATGTTATATATATTACGTATATATTTATATGTTAAGTATTGTTTTTATTTCAGGCCCTTGGTGTTTTAGTTTCATGCTGCTTTTTGGATATTGTTGATTACAACCTTGTATTTCTGAGTGCCATGCCTTTAAGTTACTTTTAATAACATTAATAACAAACAAATATATTGATCCTGAACCTTCCCTTCATTATCGCTCATTGATCAGTGAGCAGCCAGATCCTGAGGGTAAAGGTCCAACCTCCAGGTAAGACTGATGAGCCTCTCCCTCCGGCCTGCTGGCTCCAGGGTGAGGCCACATCATCCCTAGTCTGGGTCACGGGGTCACTGGTGCCCATATGTAGCAGTTATTTTGTGAGATGTGGGGTACACCCTGGACAGGTCTCCAGTCCATCACAGGGACACATAGAGACAAACGAGACAAACAACCATTCACTCTAGAGACAATTTAGAGTTATCAATCAGTCTAACATGCATGTTTTTGGTCTGTGGGAGGAAACCGGAGTAACCAGAGAAAACCCACGCATGCACGGAGAGAACATGCAAACTGCACCCAGAAAGGCCCCTGGCCGGGATTTGATCCGACGACCTTCTCACTGAGAGGCGGCAGCTCTACCAACTGCGCCACTGTGCTTCCTACATTTACCCCAAATTCTCTATTTTGTTTTTTTTCTTTTTCTGAATTCCATGTTTTACAATATGTAATTTTGTATATTATTTTTAAAGTACAACAACTAAAATAAAAAGGGAGTGATGGACTTAAAAAATATTCATGGTTTATAAAGTCCCATGGAAGAGTGGTAAATCTCTTGTTTAAAAAATAAAAAATAAAAAATTATATATAGATACATATATATATATATATATGGCAGCACGGTGGCGCAACTGGTAGAGCT